TACGTTTGATAATATACGTGGTACAGCGCGCATCGCACCATAAAAATGGTAAATACTTGGCCTTGTCACCACACACACACTACTCTGGGCACTTCAGCGTGGCGCTACTTTATTCATGAGGTCGGATTTCTCTGGCCATAACTGTAGATCTCCTCCACGGTCAGAGAAATCCAGCCTTTCTCTGAGACCTGTGCCATCTAGACACTGTACATACTGAGTCACAGGTGCACCTCCAGTAGGGCATCTAGTCACATAGCAAAGAAGGCATGCGGAAATGCACCAGTGGTTGGATGTCAGCATGGGCAGCACCGAGGCTGGAAGTGACCAACATCACTGCCCAATATCAGAATGTCAAGACAGTGAGAGACACTGTGTGAAATCCAAGGCTCATGTTGTGTGCTGTGTGAAATCCGTCAGTGTCTGCTGAAAGTGATGTGCTAGATGTTATCGAACTACCGGTACATGTACTTCGTGATAATTATTATTATGCAGGGAATTTTCTAGAACCGCCCCAACCGGTTTTCGACCGGTTGAAATTGTTGGCGACCGGTTGAAAAAATACAAATCAGTTCCAACCGCCCGTACTTTTCTGTGGGTGAATGGAGCTGCTTATATCTTTGCTACACTCCAGCACCAAGAAATCTGTTAAATTGCTGTCGAGTGCCATATTTGGGTTGTATTTTGAAAACAATTCCGGGGGGACCCCCCCCCCCCCCCACTCTTCATTGGACCGTAACCGGTTGGAAATTCGTCCTAGAATATACCCTGTTATGCTGTTGATTTTCCTCCTTGGTGCTGCTGCTACCCCTTCCATGTCGCCAGCCGAACCTTTCAAGTGCAAACTGCAGTTGGGCTCGGATTCAGTGAACCTATCCCCGTTCCCGAGGACAACGTGATACACGCTTGCACCCTAGTGCGGCTGCACTGTCCAGTGTTGATCCACTCACTTCTCCTTCTCCAAATCAGTCCTTCCCCAGTCCTGCTCTCTTTCCTCTTTCTCTCGCATACATTGTACACTGTACACTGTACAGCGGGTCTTTCCCTGTCCTCGTTGTCTTCATGGGTACAGCCTGGCAATTCTTCACTGCATTTTTTTAAATTATTTTCACTGCATTTATCGCACTTCCCACAGTTCTGTACTCCCATTAAAAATTTACAGCCCATCCCTACAAGGTACTAGGTGCATCGCTAATATAAGTATATAAGTAAATGTGGTGCCGAGACCTTCGATTGAGCTCAACAGGTCCCCCCCCCCCCCCTGGAGTTTCGGGCCACTCTGTACTGCTGGATATGTGCTTCTACGCCCAAGGAGCTCTGAAGGAATGCTACTGATTGAGGTGGCACCACACACACTCACACAGTGAATACAACTGTGTGTGCACTCATATCACACTCATATCACACTCATATCACACTCATATCACACTCATATCACAATCATATCACAATCATAGGAACAATTTAAGGCAAGGCAATACGCTTACAGACATAACGCTTACGCAGCACCTTATTCGGACAATCACTGTCTTCACGTCGCCTACTCAATTGCAAAACGGGTTTTCGTCAATAGTAATGTTCATTTCCTGTCAAGTATCCCATTCGCCTGCCGGGCCCACCTGGAATCCCTACTGCACTGGAACTTTATAATGGAATCATCATTAGAATGTATTATGATACACACGTCTCGAGATGTTTTCGAAAGTATAGGGTTATTATATTTTAGAAGGTGTGGCAGTCCCATGAATGGCTGGCCAGCTCTCTGTCTGGCTCGCTTTACTGGATTCTACTATTTCTAGACTGTATTCTTCAGGCTCACTTCAGGCTCGACTCGCATTGCAAACTTCTGTTGTTATTGTGTTTCCAACTTACTAACTACCAGGGAGTCGTACTCAAACTAGGGAGGTGACACGGCACAGAAATTCGTGTCACAGGGGTTGACTCGCACCCTTGACCCCTCGTTGTTATTTTTGGAATAGTTCAGTCCAGTCCAGTCCGAAAGGTCATACTTGGATCGACTCGCCTTCTGTACTTCACCTCCAAGCGTGCAACGCGAGACCCGCAAAGTATGATTTTTCTGTGGGGAACGATTTTGCCATTGATCAAGTTTTTATTGGAGTGCTCAGGCATACTACGATTGCTGAGACGTCCCGAGCACGCTTGTTCAGGTTCTCTATCTTTGACGAGCCGGTCCTACAGCCCCCTACATTGTATCTAACGACGTAGGAGCTGACAATGTAAGAGGATTTCCCTGGAAATAATGATGATGGTGGTGTGACTGCTGCAGGAAAAATGCTGGCTGTTTATGACAGTATGACTAGATGTACAATGTAGCTCTCTTGTATGGTACTTAACCCCTGCTATAAATGTGTTGTTTAGGAAGACTGGTGTATTGTGCAAGTCATAAAGAAGAAATGGGGCAGATACACGACTTACAATTTTCAAAAACCAGCTTCGTGCTATGTGCAATTTGGGTCAATTTTTAGTATTCGGATTAACCTAGGATACGACTCTGAACAGTTCTGAACAGTTACCGTAACACTACACGCCGTCTCATAACTGCTGCTGTTGCCATCACTGCTATCAATTAGTTCGGACATGGCAGGAGGTAAACAAATTGCTGGTAGTCTTTCAAAGAATACTGGCGAGTGATGGGCTGTAAACGAAATGTGCTGCCTCATTAATTTCAAAAACTAGACACCCATGCGGCACGCTTGGAGGTGAAGTACAGAAGGCGAGTCGATCCGAGTATGACCTTTCGGACTGGACTGGACTGAACTATTCCAAAAATAACAACGAGGGGTCAAGGGTGCGAGTCAACCCCTGTGACACGGATTTCTGTGCCGTGTCACCTCCCTAGTTTGAGTACGACTCCCTGCTAACTACTAAAGAAGAAGACTACTGAAGACTAGCCGAAAGGGAAAGGCACCTGCGTCTTATAACAGCAGGGCAACATAAAGCACAGCAGGCCGAGCAGGGCGGCATAAAAGGCACAGCAGGCCGAGCAGGGCGGCATAAAAGGCACATGTGAACTTGTGACCAGAGACCCGGACCCGTCAAAGCATGCAAATGAGGGCCGCTCTATCGCCTGACATGAATGCATACAAACCAGTATACTGTATAACACCTTTATTTCGGTGTAATTTAAATTTCGGTAACTTCGGTACTGGTCCTGGATCACCTAATTTAACATTACACCTAAATTTTCCGAAATACCAAAATATGTAAAAATCATGAAAATCACTGTCAAATTAAAAAAATCAACTACATGTGTAGTTGTAACTTACTTGTATACTGGTATACCGGTAGTACATTGTACATACATAACATGTATGCATATGTGGAGCCTTTTGGCCTTGGCGGAGATATTACTTATTAGTGCAAGAGCGGTTTTTTTTTTTTTTTTTTTTTTTTTTTTTTTTTTTGGTGCCATGCATACCGAATTTATCCTTACACCGAAAGGTCAGGGGTTGGCTTTTACCGAAATTTTACTACACCGAAAATAAGGTGATATACAGTACATGTACATGGCGAAGGACTAAAGGGACGCTGGTCTAGGAGTGCGGCAGTTTTTGCGCCATGGCAACGAGGAGTGCGCGCACGCGCGCCATGGCAACGAGGAGTGCGCGCACGCGAGAGCCACCAGCGCAAAGCGCTGCAGACTTGCGGCGGGACAGCGAGTGAGACACTTGGCCGTGACCCAGTACGAGTGCAGTCTTGACCAGGGAGCCCTACACATACCGGTATGTGTAGGGCTCCCTGGTCTTGAGCTACAGGAGGTAAAAAGTTACTCGATCGGATAGAGCGAAACTGAGCACCATGGGATGCGAGCAGCTGTTAGTACTCCCGACCAGGGAGCCCTACACATTGTGTAGGCACCTTGCTTGACAGCAAGGAACGCTTTTTTTTAGAAAGGAAGCTTCTTCTCCAAAATTTTAAAAAAAAATTAAAATTATTCCTTCTGAAACTTGACCTCGAAGCTGACTGCTGAATGCGATTAGGATTCCTGAAGATGCACCAGACTGATTCTGGCAAGCCGTCTGTCGTCTGGATATGCACTGTTGTTCGTCATGGTCAGCAATCTTCTTCGTTCGTCCTTTCGTTTTCGTTTTCCGCGTATTACTTCAATAATTATTATTTTATTAGTGCAGTAATTGCCAAGACAGAAGACTGCAGTACGAACTCGTACTCGTAGCAGCAGCAATGCCAAGAAGAGCAGGCAGCGTAGCAAAAGCAGTCACAACAACGCAGACGCAATAACATTTTCAGCAGCCGTTCATCTCAGAGGGGATGCAGCGCCAAACTGCGAGGGTGGGGTGGTAACTCTCACAACCAATGCCTCCGCAGGTAAGTACTAGTAAAGCCTCTTGTGCGGGAAAAATGAATTGCACATATCAAACAAATTCAAATTCAGTAAACTACTTTGAAGTACAAAAATCAATTTAAATGCATGAATCTTCACTAGTTTGAGGGAAAGAGACAAACAGGAAAAGTCTGAACAAAAATGACTGTCACCACCTGGACTCGAACCAGGGACCTTCGCTTGAAGCCAGCGATGCTCTAACCACTGAGCTATGGTGTAGTCGTCATCCCAGCAGAGACTGTTCAACATTTTCTTCAGACTTCGTAACTTACACTTCCTGTGAATCCACGCAGGCGGGTGGGACGCAGCCCTCACTGTACCCACACACTTCACGTACACTCTAGCACGCGGGGAGCCCCAAGTCATAAAAATGCATGAATGTTAGTATTAAACACAAAAATATAAAGTAAAAATCAATTGGAACACAAAAAAGAGACAAAAACCCTAGGTAAAAGAGCCCACAGAAACATTACCGTACTGGCAAAGAACGGCAGCTATTTACAAAGGCCCTATTCCTACGCCTGTATGATGCCCGGGACCCTCTGATACAGATAAGTACTATTATATAACCCTGTTCTTACTCGAACATGCCTCCGGATAGCACACGACTCGTTGTTTTAGAAGACTGTATTATAATGTT